CTGCACCCAGGCCACCGCGGAAGCCAGCGCTGCTCACGCGGGAGAAGCTCGAGGAGCTCGAGCGGGCACTGGGCCCACTCGTGAAGGAGCGGCTGCTGAAGGCCCCGGGGCCAGTGGTGGACACCCTGTAGGACTTCTGGGTCACCCTGATGGACATGGTGGAGGCAGGAGTGGAAGCAGGCGAGCTGAACCAGGGAGAGATTCCACAAGGAGCGGAGAAGCTGCTGCTTGGACGAAAGCACTCAGGAATGGCCCTTTATAAAAGAGAGCCCAGCCCCAGGGTGGGGAGGAGGCCTTGTACCTGAGTGGCTAGCATCAGAGAGGGCTGGGCCTAACCCAACACCTGCCACCTCTGGGCAGGACTCGGGTGGGGGCAGCAGAGAGCTGCTGCCACCCAAGGGCCTGCGGCAACCCTGGAGCCCACTCCAGCACCACCCCCAGAAACCCAGGGAAGGGCAATTCAGTGAACATGAAACTGGAAGAAATCCTGTCCTGGCACAAGCTCCTGTAACAAGGAGACTTGCCTGGGTCGTCCAGCCACTACAACCCTGACTCCTGGGTCTTGTCTCCCTCCCTCCTGGGGGAAATAAACTGGAGGACTGGAGGACTGGGAAGCATGGCAAAAAAGGGTCTCCTAGCATTTGGGTCTCCTCTGAACTGCTGACGCCCCAAAGACACTCTCTTGTGTTCTCCCTGATTGAAGCCATTATGAGGGCCTGCCGGGGCTGGATGACAGAACTCCTGGAGTCCAAAGCCTTGAATCTGAAGTCAACCTTTTGCCTCATCTCTCCAGGTTACTGTTCTACCCCAGCACCTGGTGCAGTGCCAAGAGGGGCTGGGTAGATATTTGTGGAATTAATGTATGAATAAACATCACACACACACGCACGCACGCACGCACACACACGGAGTGGCTGTTGTCCCTCTGCATCTGAACGTGCAAGACAAAAAGAGATTCTAGGCCAGACGCAGTGGCTCATGCCTGTAATCCCAGCACTTTGGGAGGCAGGGCGCAGTGGCTCATGCTTGCAATCCCAGTACTTTGGGAGGCCCAGGCGGGCGGATCATGAGATCAAAAGATCAAGACCATCCTGGCTAACACAGTGAAACCTCGTTTCTACTAAAAATACAAAAAAAATTAGCTGGGTTTGGTGGCACGCACCTGTAGTCCCAGCTGCTCTGGAGGCTGAGGCAGCAGAATCGTTTGAACCTGGAAGGCAGAGATTGCAGTGAGCAGAGGTCCAGCCATTGCATTCCAGCATGGACAACAGAGCGAGACACCATCTCAAAAAAAAAGAAAAAAATTAGCCGGCATGGTGGCACGCTCCTGTAATCCCACCTACTCAGGAGGCTGAGGCAGGAAAATCGCTTGAACCCAAGAGACAGGGATTGCAGTGAGCTGAGATTGCAGTGAGCTGAGATTTCTCCACTGCACTCTAGCCTGGGGGACAGAGTGAGACTCCATCTCAATGAAAAAAAAGAAAAAAGAGAGCAATCCAACACAGCACTTTTCCAGAACATAACCCAGAGCCTTCCTTTCCTCCCAAGGTCCTAGGATCCCCTGGGCCAGGTTAACACTGTAAGCCTTGCTGAAGGGCCTGGAGAATGACGAACAGGGCTAGAAGGCAGGGAAGGCAGGGGCCGGGACTTCACAGTTCTTACGGCTCTTTGTGGGAGTCATTCCCGTTGCTCCCAGTGAGTGAATCATGGGAAGTGAGATAGGACGGCAGGGGGTACAGTGGAGTGGAGTGGCACTGGTCACCCCAGGGAAGGGGGTGAGACCACCTACTGGGTGGACAGATGCACAGATTCCTCCCTTTTTTTTTTTTGAAGTTAAAATTTTATTTATGGCCTGAGTAGCATATAAGATGTGTTTTCCATGCTTCAAAAAGAAAAAAAAAAAGTCTTTAGCAGGTCTCTGGCTTCTGTCCCTCCCTATGCATCCTACCGTTCTGTTTCCTGTTTTTAACTTTCTCTGTACCTGTGGGAGTCATCAATAGGGAGTGTTACAGGGCTTGGCGAGAAATGTCACATTGAAGACAAGTGGCCTCAAACTGAAATCAGGTGGTGGTGCTACCTGGACCCTCCTGCTTTTCCCAGCTCCGACGGGCCAGAGGAAATGGAGGAAGAGTCTCTGCACCTGTCTCCCTGATCCTGTTAGCAAAGTGAGTCAGGAAGGCAGGTTGAGACACAGCATGCACCTGTGGGAGGTTGAAGAATGGGGAGCCGAGCAAGCCACCCCAGGCCTGGGTGGGGCGGGCGTGGGTGGAAGGCAGGAGGTTTAGATCCCCAAGGCAGAGATTCCACCTGCAATTACCTGATGGCTGGGCTGGGTTCTCTGGAAGATACTGCAGGGTGTGATGTGGGGACTGGATGAAAATGAACTGGAAGGACCAACAGATGACACCCAGATCCCCTTGGGGAGAGGGACAGGTGACACACACCCCTGACTCGGGGAAGGGGGTGACCACCTGCTGGGAGGACAGATGTACAGATTCCTCCCCATCCTTGTCTGGGAGAGACACCCGGGCTCACAGACAGGCACATAGGACCCCTACTCAGAAGTACAGAGAAACCCAGAAGCCCCCTCTTTGGAGGGCAGACATAAACCTAAATACACACAGACAAGCTCCCTTCACAATGCATGCATGCATGCACACCTACACACACACATACACACACACACACACACACACACGCCTGCACACGCACATCACATTGAAGTCCCTTCCAGAAGACAAATGCAGAGATTTCCCCAAAGTGGGCACAGTGAGTGGCTTCTTCCTCCTTCCACTGTTTTCTACCTCCCTCCCCTCTCCTCCCCCATCTCCTCTCCCCTCCCTTCCCCCCTCTCCCCTCCCCTCCCCTCCTCTACCCTTTCTCCCCTCCCTCCCCCCTCCCTCATCTCCTCCCCTCTTTGCTTTCCTCCCCCACTTCCCTGCACCCCTGGCCCTGGCATCCTGCTGTGCTGAATGGAGCAAGGGAAATCCAGTTAGCACCTATTTACACCAGGCCTTCTCCCAGCTCCTTTAAACAATGCCTAATTCTCTAAAGAGTGATTTGAATACATGCTACCCCCTCCCCAACAAACACCTGCACCCAAAAGAGCTGAGAAACCTTTTCCAGAAGACCATAGGGAGGAGCACTGGGCCCAGTGCCAAACCTGGGCCAGAGAAGGCAGAAGGAGGGAGGGAGGGGCTGGTCAGACGGGTATGGCAACCCTGTAAAGGGAGGACAGGCGCTCTCCCTATCTTCCCTCCCCCACGCTGCTGTTAGAGGGAGCAGGGAGCACTCAGGTCCTGATTTAGGCAGCACAAGGAGTGAAAAAACAGCACCCCAAAGCCCTTCCTGAAATTTCAGTCCCCTCCACCCCATCTTTATGGTTCTCTGGTTCTAGGAGTGTCTCTTGTTTAAGGTGAGGACAAAGTGGGTTGCCAGGGACCCTGCAGTATCCAGACTGGAGGGCTGACCCAGACCTTACCCAGCCAGGGGAAGCCCCTTTTTTCTGAGGCAGCTCAGAACAGTCCAAGGCCAGAAGTGTTTGTGTCTCATTTGTCAGCTCTCTATTGCCCAGAGACCCCAGCCAAACCCTCCCCCAGATGCCCCAGGCCCACCCTCAGCGCAAGAGAAGAGGCCAGAGTTAGCCTCTCTAATGGCCCCTGCCTGGGACTTCGGGGGTAAAGGCAGAAGGGGAAGGCCCCTGGGACTAGGGCCAAGGGATAAGGGAAGAGAAAACCAGACTGGGGCGGGCCCAAAGGTACAGCTCCTTATAAGGCATTGTGGTCTACACACAGCTGCCTGCCCAAAAAAAGGGAACAAAGAGTTTGTGGTGACTGCCCTACCCAGACGACTCTGCCTCAAACCGCCTTTCCTGGAGAGTGAACCAGGGAAGGAGGAGACACTCTCTCCCTGTGGGCCAGGAGTGGGGGCCAAGCCCGCTACTCCTAATCGCGCAGGATAATTCACAGGAGGCCCTGAGACCCTGAGCAGTGGCTTAAGTCTGGGGGCCAGTGGGATGGGCAGGTAGCTGTTATCATCACTTATAATTGTGGGGAGAGATGGTCCAAACAAGTTTTGCCTAGTGATAGGGACTGATGATCTCATTCACAGCAGCATTGTTCATAATAGCCAAAGAGTGGGAATAAAACAAATGTCCACCAAATGATCAATGGATTTTTTTAATATGGCATATCCAAGCAATCTAATGTTTTTTTTGTTGTTGTTGTTGTTTTGTTTTGTTTTTTTTGAGACAGAGTTTCTCTCTTGTTACCCAGGCTGAAGTGCAATGGCATGATCTCGGCTCACCGCAACCTCCGCCTCCCGGGTTCAGGCAATTCTCCTGCCTCAGCCTCCTGAGTAGCTGGGATTACAGGCACGCGCCACCATGCCCAGCTAATTTTTTGTAGTTTTAGTAGAGACGGGGTTTCACCATGTTGACCAGGATGGTCTCGATCTCTTGACCTCGTGATCCACCCACCTCGGCCTCCCAAAGTGCTGGGATTACAGGCTTGAGCCACCGCGCCCGGCCAGCAATCTAATGTTTTAATTAAAAGTAATGAACTACCGTTGTATGTCGGATGCAGATGAGCCTTGAAAACCATACGTTCGGCTGGGCGTGGTGGCTCATGCCTATAATCACAGCACTTTGGGAGGCCAAGGCAGGTGGATCACGAGGTCAGGAGATCGAGACCATCGTGGCCAACATGATGAAACCCTGTCTCTACTAAAAATACAAAAATTGGCGGGGCGTGGTGGCACGTGCCTGTAATCCCAGCTACTCGGGAGGCAGAGGCAGGAGAATCGCTTGAACCAGGGAGTCGGAGGTTGCAATGAGCCAAGATCGTGCCACTGCACTCCAGCCTGGTGGCAGAGTGAGACGCCGTCTGAAAAAAAAAGTATACTCAGTGAAGGGAGACAGCCATAGAAGACCAGCTACCCTATGATTCCATTTGTATGACATGTGCACAATAGGCAAAGCATGGAGACAGGAAGTAGATTCATGGTTGCCTAGGGTGGGGAGGAACGGAGGCGAATGCTAAAGAGCAAAGGTTTCTTATTAGGGTGATTAAAAGCTTCTAAATTTGATGGTGGTGGCCAGGCACAATGGCTCTACCTATAATTCCAGCACTTTGGGAGACCGAGGCAGGAGGATTACTTGAGTCCAGGAGTTTGAGATCAGCCTGGGCAATATAATGAGACCCTTGTCTCTACAAAAAATACAAAAATTAGCTGGCCATGGTGGCACATGCCTATAGTCCTAGCTGCTCTGGAGGCTGAGTTGTGAGGATCACCTGAACCAGGAAAGTTGAGGCTACAGTGAGCCAAGATTGCATCACTGCGCTCTAGCGTGCCTGGGAGACAGAGTGAGACTGTCTCAAAAATTAATAAATAAGCAAACAAACAAATTCGATGACAGGGAAGCTGCACAAGTCTGTAAACACACTAAAAACATAGGACAGCAGTGCCAGGCACCTGAGTGATGGGAAGTGGAAATTATGGAGAGGATTTCAAGGAAACTTCAGAAGCTGACATTGAAGTGGAGGAAGCCCTCACGGTGTTCAGGCAACTGGAACTGCAGGCTTCAGATTGTTGAAGTATATGGTATGTGAATTACAGCTCAACAAAGCTGTAACAAAAGGAAACCACAAAAGCATAAATGAGCTACATATAAAAAGCGGGACTTTGTGTCCAGCATAAGGAGTCAAGAGAAAGAAGGAAAGAGTTTGTTAAGATGCTCCAGGTAAAGAGGCCTCCTGCCTCTGGGTTAGGGCAGTGCCCCAAAAGTACCTGAAATCCCTTTAAAGGATGGGGCATTTAAAAATGTTATTGTTGGGGCCTGGCACAGTGGCTGAAGCCTGTAATCCTAGCATTTTGGGGGGCTGAGGAGGGCAGATCATGAGGTCAAGAGATTAAGACCATCCTGGTCAACATGGTGAAACCCTGTCTCTACTAAAAATACAAGAATTAACCGGGCATGGTGGTACACGCCTGTAGTCTCAGCTACTCGGGAGGCTGAGACAGGAGAATTGCTTGAACCTGGGAGGCAGAAGTTGTGGTGAGCCGAGATCGTGCCACTGCACTCCAGCCTGGGCAACAAGAGCGATACTCCATCTCCAAAAAAAACAAAATGTTATTGTTGGCCTAGAAATAGCTACATTTAGCTTTGCGACAGCAGAACAATTTGTTTAACTAGGAAGCCACAGGTGGTGGGTACACCCATCAGGAAGCAGCATCATGAATAATAGAGTCAATTCAATTACTAATTTTTCGTTGTGTGCCTCAAGGCCAAAATTGTTTATAGTCAAAGCTTAGCCAGTGGTGAGTTTTTTGCTCTTGATCAGTGGTGGGTCTGATGATTAAAGCCAGCCAGGATAGAAATGGACTTCCTGGAGAGGGAGCAAGCTCCTGTCCCTGAAGATATTGAGAGGGAAGTTTGCTCACCATTGGCTCGGTGGGAGGGGGCTTTCACGTCTGCTAGGGTTTGAATTACAATGTCCAAGTCCTGCCAACTCTGAAAGTCTTTGATCCACATCTACCACCACCACCATAGAGCTTTGCACACTGAAGATGAGAATCTGTGACTGTTCTCTGGCTTGAAATTTTGGTTGTGGTTAAGAGATATAATTAGAGCTGGGCGACGTGGCTCATGCCTGTAATCCCAGCACTTTGGGAGGCTGAGGTGGGTGGATCACTTGAGGTCAGTAGTTCGAGACCATCCTGACCACCATGGAGAAACCCCATTGCTACTAAAAATACAAAATTAGCTAGGGGTGGTGGCACGTGCCTGTAATCCCAGCTATTTGGGAGGCTGAGGCAGGCGAATTGCTTGAACCCAGGAGGCAGAGGTTGCAGTGAGCCAAGATTGCAGCATTGCACTGCAGCCTAGGCAACAAGAGTGAAACTCTGTCTCAAAAAAATGAAAAATTGGGGAGACAGGCGCAGTAGCTCATGCCTGTAATTCCAGCACTTCGTGAGGCTGAGGCAGGTGGATCACAAGGCCAAGAGATCAAGATCATCCTGGCCAACATGGTGAAACCCCACCTCTACTAAAAATACAAAAATTAGCTGAGGGTGGTGGCAGGCGCCTGTAGTCCCAGCTACTCAGGAGGCTGAGTCAGGAGAATCACTTGAACGCAGGAGGTAGAGGTTGCAGTGAGCCGAGATCGCGCCTGCACTCTAGCCTGATGAACACAGGGAGACTCTGTCTCAAAAAAAAAAGAGAGAGAGAGACAGAGAGAGAGATGTAATTAAAAATTATTAGAACAAGAGTGAGGGAGGACAGCAAGGTAAGCCTTGTTTTAGAGGGAGGCGACACAGCCCAACAGCCTGGAGATGATGAGGTCTCCCGCACTTTTTGTTTTTTTAAGATGGAATCTGGCTCTGTTGCCCAGGCTGGAGTGCAGTTGTGCAATCTTGGCTCACTGCAACCTTCACTTCCCAGGTTCAAGCGATTCTCCTACTTCAGCCTCCCAAGTAGCTCGGACTACAGGCGCCCGCCACCATGCCCAGCTAATTTATTT